ACAGGCCTAAAGTGTAAGCAGACGTTTGAATGTTTAGTTCTCTCCTCTATCATAATTAAGCAGGGCTTTCATGTTGCGCGTGCTGAAGCTCCTCCGCACGAGCGCGATCTCGCTTCTGAGTTGCGAATAGCAAAAAGGCATCATACACAAATGTTTGAATATTATTGCATATAAAAACAGCTGGCGACCCTGGTGAGACAGAATTTGCAAGACAATGTATCTATAGCAATAATAAATGTATGTGTGTTTTCTTAATTTCTCCAGTACCGATAGCAGAACCGTTAACGTCAGAGCTTATTGATACTCCGGTCTTTCATAATTTAGCCCCGGGACCGATTAAATACCGGGTTTCGGTACCCATCCCTATTCCAAACCCATTTTTGGTCAATGCTCCATCCCTTGTCGTCAGACTTTCTCTTTCTGTCCTCTTCCTTTGGTTGTCTACCCATCAATCTTTGCAGCGGAAGTAGGGCTGCACAATATATCGTTTCAGCATTGATATCGCGATGTGCGCACCTGCGATAGTCACATCGCAGGATGTGCGATGTTTAGTATAGGCTACTGTCGTTATATTTATACTGAATGTTTTCTTTGCTCACACACAGACGCGGTGTCTACACCGGATGCAACAGCTGTACAGAGATACCCATTTTAAATACGTTTAGTAGCAGAGCTACTGCGCGTGATTTTCAGTGCTGGAAATCAGTTTATCCTTTGTTGAAACTTCCGTGTCGTCGTGGAGAGCGCAGGTCACGGTTACTTAGCAACGGCAGATGCCACGAAAGCGCAAGCTCCCGAGCGCTTTGGACAGAAGGAGAAAGCGGCGCGACTGGAGTTTTCCCACGCGTTTTTAGGCGCAACATGTGAACGAACGGTGAAAATGAACGGCGAAGTCTGTCTACACTGGACGCGACAAAGCGACCGTTGCCAATCATTTGAACTTTGTGTCAGTACGTCATAAAGAGAACGCGGCATCAGTTTACTGTCGGGGATTTGTCGTGTCGTGCCGCGCCGCAGCCAGTGTAGACAGTCACACAGCATCACTGATTATAATGGGTTCATAGTATTTTGTCGCGCCGCTCGCGTCCGGTGTAGCCACGCAGAAGCACGTGAACACTGAAATCTGTTCACGTCTGCGTCTGTTTGTGCCTGAAATACTGTGCTCTGCAAGTATCCTTGTAAACGCAGTTGCTTATGGCTTAGGTGAAGGGAAACAATTGAGAAAGAAAATGGATATGTAAAAGTAGCCTATATTGGTTTACAGCAGTTTAATGTTCCTGAGGCTTTCTGTGTTATGAATGTTAATCAAACAACACAACTTTTGTAGCTTTAACAGATTTATTAGATTTAATTTATACAGTGAAGACTATGCAGTGCTATTTTACATTTGATTATTCAATTTCTGTACCTGAATACTGTTAGACTTAACTGAAAAATATAAATCACTGCTTATTTCATTTGTATCTTTGTTCTGTTATATTTATCTATGCTTGTAATTTGTTTATTTCCTATGCTGATTTACTCGTCTACAAAATCACCCCAATCAATATTTTTTTTCCAAATAAACTATTCAAGTCATGTGGTGATTTTTTTTTTTCATATCGCAATATATATCACAGAAAAATAAAATATCGCAATGTGAGTTTCTTCCAATATCATGCAGCCCTCAGCGGAAGGATGTTGCACGCTCCGTTTCCTCCAAACCGCAGTTTTGAGTCTGTTCTCTGGCAGATATTTGGTCCCCACCTTCCCTCTCACATTTGACTGCTGTTGAAAAGGATGTTGGCCAATGCAGAGAATATGAATACAGGCACCATGCTTTCCTTTTGGAACAAATTGAATTGAAAGCTGATCTGTTGTGACAGTCTCAACATAATGTGATGCTTAGGGATGCACAATATATGTTATCAATTATCAGCTAATAGTATGGGCTATTGTAAAGATTATAATATTTTATGCTGATTTAATATCACTTAATTTTATGTAAATCTATTAATAATTATTAAATCAGTATGTTTTCATATTAGATATCTATCAGCCAATATTTGTGTTTTTAGATATTTTCTTTCATCTACAGATAACTTAAAGGGATAATGTTTGATTACAGCAAAGATTTAACCCTTTACGACCACTATTTTTTGAGTATTCTTCACATTTAGAGGTTTTATTGTTTTTTGTTTTGTTTTGTTTGTTTTTTTTGCAGAAAATTAAAACAAACTAAAACAATAAATGTTCGTGTTTAGCATTATTATTATTATTATTAATCCATTTTTTCAGTGTCTATCCATATTGGATATTTATTCTTCCTATTTTTAGATTTTTACATGCTTTTGCTTTCATCTACAGATAGCTTAACATCTACAGATAAAAGTATTCGATTTCAGAGATTTAAGAGCACTATTTTATGAGAATTTTTCCATTTAGAGGACTTGCTCATTGCTCTTGGTGAATGTTTTTCTCAGAATTAATATTTTCCAACAGCATTGTTTATAGACCTTAAAAAACAATGAAATTTCACATTTTGTTGTTTAAATTAAGTAGGGATGCACAATTTAATCAGAAACACAGTCTAAATATTATTTGTGTATTTTGCTTTCATTTTATTAGAAGTAGGCCAACAGTGCCCCCTACAGAATTAAAACTCCAAACGTTCTGCATTAGGACCCCGGGGAGGCTGGCGCTGCTGCCACTGCACATTACTGTTTAGTCTATCACACACCAAACGCGTCATTCTGTACGTGCATTCTCAAATTAAATGCAGCGATCCAAAACAGTGAATCTAATCATCATTCAGGCAAAACTTTGCTTCAAGAATGAGCCACACTGCTGACATGATCTAATTGCTAGCACACCCTGAGCATATGTGAGTTAATTTATTCCTCTTATCGGCAAGAGATATCGGCATATTTTTTTTCATATTGGGCCGATGCTGATATTTACATTTCAAGCCATTATTGGCCGATTCTGATATTGGTCCGATAATATCGTGCATCCCTAAAATTAAGAGCTGCAATACTGGACAAAGATTAAACTGTTTTTCATGCATTTTGTGGAATTTAGTATGTAGTACTTCGTACCTTTAATCAGATTGGTGGTTGTCTGAAGCCTAAACTGAAAAAGCCTCAGTCCACATACACATTTAGCATCCAAACAAATTCAAACACCTCACCACACACTATTTTTTCCATCTTCACACATGTTGTGATGCTCAAATAAGATAACTGACCAGAATGCTGGTGGTTAGTGCTGGGCCTTAGCACGATTACTCTTGCATTACACTTTCACACAGATGTTTGAACTCTCCAATGCTGCTGTGATGTTTAGCTTTCTTGATGGCGGTCTTGGCTAAAATAACTCATGTGCTTGTGATAACTCTGCAGGATCCTGTTATGTGTAACAGAATAATGCTGTATGCAAATTATAGTGTAATGCAATAATGTACAATTACAGCAGGATAATGAGTCATGTTTAATCAATATGAATCGTCTTCTCTTCTTTCCACAGGTATTAAATGAAGAGTGCGATCAGAACTGGTATAAGGCAGAATTAAACGGCAAAGACGGTTTCATTCCTAAAAACTACATCGAGATGAAGGCGCATCCGTAAGTATACTAAGATACGTTAGCCACCACAACCTGACTTCCGTTTACACCTCTTTCAAAGCACCATGAGATCATTCACAGCTTTAAAGGTGAAGTGTGTGTCATTTCTGTGCCACTAGTATCACCAAACGAAATGACGCACAGTTCCTCTTTTTCCACCTTGAGAAATATTGCTCGATTGTTTTTATTCAGAATAATTTTTCTTCTGAATTTTCTGTTTAAGTGATGAATCGTCAGAGTCATTTCCTTGGTGTACAGCTCTTTCAGGCTTACAGAGAATTGAATAAACTCAGTCTAACCCCTCTCTGACATGACTTCACTTCCCTAGTCTCGGAGAAACTCCTCTGCTCTGTGTTTCCCATCATTGCAGACATCTGTTTTACGGGTCTGTCGGTATTAATGAGGAGCTTTACTGTAATCATGTTTGGAAATCTTTGAACAGAGCTGTGTACAGCTGTTATAAAACAAGCGAGTGAGGGTCTCAAGTATTGCTCAAGAATTCAAATTGGCATCAGAAGCAAAATGAACGCCAAAGTGAAGAGATGGTGTTAGTTTATTACATCATTCAAAATGTACATCTTCATATTTATGTATCAGAATATCTCAAAATAACACACAGACCAGTGAATCAGTGTTTCCAAACCCTGCCATTCTGCCCTAGTGTCAGTTTCAAAATACACCAGCAGCCTTGACAAATGGATATTCCACAGTTTTTATATCTAATTTTATTTATTTTTTTATTTATATATTTTTTATATCAGTTGCAGGTATTTACAATTATTGCACTATTGTCTAAATGTTTTGGTGCACTTATGCTCACCAAGGCTGTGATTATTTGATAAGAAATACAATAAACTAACAGAAATATTGCGAAATATTATTACATTTTCAAATAACTGTTTCTATTGTAATATATTGTAAAATGTCATTTATTATTGTGATGCAAAGCTGAATTTTCAGCATCATTACTCCAGGCTTCAGTGTCACATGATCCTTCAGAAATCATTCTAATATGCTGTTTTGCTGCTCAAGAAACATTTATTATCAATGTTGAAAACAGTTGTGCTGCTTAATATATATTTGTGGAAACCGTTCTACTTTTTCAGGATTCTTTAAAGAACAGTAAGTTCTAAAGAACAGCATTTATTTGAAATTGAAATCTTTTGAACCATTAAAATTGTCTTCATTGTGACTTTACAATTTAATGCATATTTGCTAAACAAAAGAATTTATTAAAATAATTAATTAATTAATAAAAAAATCTTACAGTGTCCAAACTTTTGAATGGTGTGTGTGTGTGTGTCCACAAAAGTTTGGGATTAGTAAGATTTTTAATGTTTTAATGGAGTCTCTTATGCTCATCAAGGCTCATCAAATATTGTGAAATATTGCAATTTCTAAAATTGATTTCCTATTTTAATATACTGTAAAATATAATTTATTTCTTTGTCGCAGCGCTGAATTTTCAGCATCATTACTCCAGTCTTCAGTGTCACATGATCCTTCAGAAATCATTCTAATATACTGATTTATTATCAATGTTGGAAACGGTTGTGCTTCTTAATATTTTTTTGGAACCTGTAATACTTTTTTCTTTGATTCTTTGATGAATAAACAGTTCAGAAGAAACAGCATTTATTCAAAATAGAATCTTTTCTTACAATATAAGACTTTACTATCACTTTTGATCCATTTAACATCCTTGCTGAATAAAAGTATTAATTTCTTAAAAAATTTAAGTTTAAATTTACTGACCCCAAACTTTTGAATAGTAGTGTATATTGCAACACAAAATGTCTATTTTGAATCAACTTTTTATTTATCAAAGAATTCTGAAAAAAAGTATCACAGGCCCCAAAAATATTAAGCAGTGCAACAGTTTCCAACATTGATAATAAATCAGTATATTAGAATAATTTCTGAAGGATCATGTGACACTGAAGACTGGAGTAATGACTAATAAAAATTCAGTGCTGCATCAAAGAAATAAATTATATTTTAAAGTATATCAAAATAGAAAACTGTTATTTTAAATTGCAATAATATTTCACAAAATTACAGTTTTTCTGTATTTTTGATCAAATAAATGCAGCCTTAAGGAGCATAAGAAACTTCTTTTGAAAACATAAAAAGTCTTACTGATCCCAAACTTTTGAACGGCAGTGTATATGGTTGATGATATATTAGCTTTCACAGCACACCAAGTGTACTTTACACTGTGTCAGCCTTGAGGCTGTTGTGTGAGCTCTAATCTGAACACTTCAGTAATTACTTCTGGTCTCAGATCACAGATTCTCAGGTCTTTTCCAAATCCCTAATCTGCATTTTGCAGAATCTTTTCTTTTCTGTCAGGCCCTGTCCAAAACCGCAGCCAAACCGCATAGAAAAATGCAGTTTAGCCGTTCGTCCACACGTAAACGCAGCACCAGTTCACTGAAACCGAACATTTTTGAAAACTCCTGCCAGGGTGAAGATTTTCAAAAACTCCGGTTGCAGTGTTATCGTGTAGACAGCGAAACCTGAGTTTTTGGCTTGTGACGTCGGAGCCTGCGCTGTTATCTCCGCCTACTGGAAACTTTTTCAGGCTTCTGATTGGCCAACATGGCTTTACGGTTGAGATTATATCGCCACCTGTTGGTTTGGCATGCTCTTGACAGTGCTTCACAGCATGCGTTTGCGTTTTCATGTGGACGGAGATTTTTTTTTTAAACGGAAGAAGGAAAAACTCAGTTTATAAAAATACATGTGGACATGGCCTCAGTTGACTTGATGATTTTCGTAGGAATGCTTTGTTGCCCTTTTGATACCAGGCAGCTTGTTTGAGCTCAAAGTGTTTGTGCGTGTGGATGGTTTGGTTTGTTCGTCACTGGTCTCCATGCGTGTGAGTTTCATTATTGTCCTGTGTGCAGTAGCAAAGGCGGAAGGACGAATGAATAAATAATTAACTAATATTTGCCTGAGAGAGAATTGAAACCCATGTAATGACACACAATGAGGCTCAAGAACATGATCCACCATTCAAAGTCCCTTTTCCTACAATCAAAGTGTGTCAAGGTAAAAATCAAGTCGTCCTGGGTGGTTTCTTGCGGGTCCAAGCCAAAATAGCCGATCTTCATTTATTTCTTTTACTTTTAATTGAATAATCACTTGCAGATGGAAATATTTGAAGGCCACATTCCATTGTTTTAATTTAGTTTGATATTTACAGTAATAAGTAATGTTTTAAATAAAAGAGCGTTAATAATATTAGTTTTTCCTGTGGTGTGAGGCTCTTTGTTATGAATAGTTCCTCTCTTTAACAGATAATTGAATATTGATCATTTGCGTCACTGGAACTAATTGTCGTCAGCGTTTTTGGACTCACTTTGTTTTGACGTCCCAGAAATCAGAGCGGCTTTTGACCATCAGGTACACAAGACTGGCCAGGTTTATGGTAGGGGCCTCTTGTCAGGACAGGTGATGTAAATGCCGTCCACCTGTTTGAGCAGAGAGAGACGGTTGTCGAGCGGGATGCGGCGAGTGGAATTTGCCCTCGAGTGCTTTAATGCCACTTCCTGGTCACATGCTCTTTGTGTTTGTGTGTGTCTGTGGCTTGTGCCGTCCACATCAAAGCGGACAGGAGAGATTAGGCAGGATCCTAATCGTAACGTAACGGACCCTCTGGGAGCAGAACTGTATTATAATTTCACATGACGCATTGTTTCAAGCAAGTATAGATAGAGTAAAAGAATTCGCTTTATCTTTGATTAAACTAGATGTCCATTACATATTTAATTTGATTTGAATGAAAATATGAAGGTTGGAATAATTGTTCAGTGTGACTTTTTGAGGTTATTGTATTTTTTTTCAGGTTATTATATTATATTATATTATATTCCACTTTGAATGAGCAGTAATTATGACACTGGATCTCTTCAATAAAACATTTATGCAGAAATTATTCTTATTTAAATCTTGTTTAAAGTACTGCAATTTACAGCAAAATATATCATTTTTATATTTTAGTTTATTATTTATTATTTTTAATACACTGGAA